ATACGAGTTGTTGGCAGTCGTTGTCGGCTTGCGTAGCTGTGCACAGATTATAGCAGACCTGGGAGTAACGAGAGTGATCCTCAAAGGGGATAACACTGCAACCCTAAATGCTGCAATGAATCATCGTGCGTCAAGCCCGCTGATGGCGCAGTTGACTGCGGAGCTGGTGTTGGAAATGGAGGCACAGGGACTTCATGCCATAGTGGCGCAACATTTGCCCGGTTTGCTGAATACACTGCCTGACAAATTGAGTCGTCCACACACGGAGGCGATTCCGTTGGAGCTCAACAACATCCTTCGTTTGGATGTACCTAGAAGGTCCCAGCACTTTTACCGGACTTGGCCAAACAAGCCAAATGCCTGGTGAGAAAACAGACATGGGATGGGTTTTGGCGACGGAGTCAGGTGGAGCAGATGGGTGTTTGAACCACTGTGCCAAAACTTCTTGGAAGAAATTCGGTTAAGGATTTCTTTTTCTCTTGGTTGGAGTCCTTCCTCTTTGTTGGAGTGTTTGATAGGTTAGTTCTCCTTGTTGGAGTGTTGGATAGGAGAGTTAGTCCGATGAATATTTTCTCTTGGTTGGAGGGTTAGATAGATAGCACACCAAAGAAAAGGGGAGGGGAGGGCCTTTAGTGAGGGCTCCCCGTGTGTAGCAGGAGGCCCTTGGTTGGGGCCTCCTCCAGAGTGCTCCTTGGTTGGGAGCACTCATAGCCCGTGCACTTGGTTGGTGTGCGTAGGCTAGCGTGCATTGGTTGTGCGGGCTGGCAATAGGTATCATTGCAGGGTGAGGTTATGCCTATCTTGCTGGATACCGCGTGCATAGATGCTCAAGCACTGGACAAAGAATCCGTTTTGCCCGGGGGGAGCCAGGCGGGGATGGGCGGCTGATCCGGTGAAAGAGAAGGAAGAGCCCCCTGCAGTGGCCGAGGCAAGGCGTAAGTTGGGCTTGAGTATCGTGACACGAAGGGAACGTTCGAGAACACCTGACAGGTCAAATAATTCGTGCACGATTTTGCAAACTTTAATTAGAGGACAGAACGTGGTGAATGAACGAGCACGAGAAGAGTTGACTTCTACGTCGACGGGAGAGGTTGGTGAAGCTGACCCTGATGTGCCACCAGGATTTCATAGGAGTGGATTGCGGCTGACCTTGCATAGCGGAGAGACTTTGACAAAGGCCAGATTGGACGCACCGTGGCTCCCTGACCAGACTCAAGGCAAGCAGAATCGCGGGCAGTCCAAGTTGGCAATACAAATTGCTGGTGATGAGCAAATGCGGCAGGAAGCAATGACTGCATATGATGCACTTGTTTATGCAACAGGGTCCACGCAAGCCAAGGATGCGTTGTTTACCACTTGGGTGAACATCAGCAAAGCAAAACACGAAGAACCTCTCCCGCTGACAACCGCCAAGATTCGGGAAAATGCTGCCATCCTGCGCAGTGCGGGCTATCGTGCTGTGAAGAGCTACGTCTACGAAGCCAAGGATAGACATTCCAGAGCAGGCTATCCGTGGTCAGCGGCTCTGCAGATTGCCTTGCAGGATGCAAAGCGGATGGCGCAAAGAGCTATCGGCCAGGTTGAACGAGCTGGAGAAGTCAAATTAGAAGTTTGGGCAATGCTCATCACAAAGTTTGGCAAGCATCCATACCCAAACGAAGCGGCACAAGGGGCACCCAACGCGGGCGCTCTTACCTGGATTCTGGGCACTAAGTTTCTGCTGCGGGAGGTCGAGTTGGCTTCGCTCACCTTAGACACGAAGTGTGTGCAGCTGGATCTGGGCTCGAAAGTGGCAACTTTGAGACTGCCAGTCAGCAAAACAGATGTTGCTGGGAGGGGTGCTGCTCGGGCCTTTGGGTGTTATTGTCAGACTACGGGTGATGTGCGTTGCCCGTTTCATGTGTTGGTTGAAATAGTGAACAATCAGTGCCAAAGGCTGCGAGTTCATGATCGGAGTGTGTTGCCAGAAGGTGCAATTCCTCTCATAGGTCAAATAGCCGACGCTGGGCTGTACGTTGACAAGAAGGAAATGATCTGCGAGGCCCAGAGGATGGTAAAATTGGCCAACGGAATATGTCCTGAGACCAGCATTGCGGTGGAGACCATCACTGGGCATTTTATGCGACGTTCTGGTGTGAAGGATATGGCTAGAAGAGGTTGCGCTTTTACCACCATTCAATGGTATGCTAGACACAGTAGCAAAGCTACGTGGGACTACATTGAAGAAGCCTGGGGAGACACTCCGGAACAAGCCTTGAAGCTCAAGAGCGAAGTTGAATTTTCAGAGGCTTTGGCAAACACCTTGAGACGGGTAGATTGCCTGGAAGAAGCGATCAAAGTGCAGACCAATTCGTTGGAAGAAGCTCTGCATCATGATGGCTTTAATGTTGAATGTGAAGAGACGAAGAAGGAGATGAGGAAAGAAGCTCGTAGAGCATTGCTTCCTCTGTTCGTAGTAAATTTAAGTTCAGGTGCAGTCCATCGCCCATGCCATTCTTTTTCCCCTTTGGTAGATCCGAAGAAATGGACAACCAAATGCGGATGGCCGTGGGTTCAAGGTGACGTACCATGCCAATTTGTTTATGAAGGGGACGACTTGAAACCTACCACCCGGAAGTGCCTGAAGTGTTTCGGTGGGTGAGAGAAAGAAAGTATGGGGCTGATTTGAGGCAGGGGTCTGTTCTTGGTTTGACACCCCGGGTTT